AATTATTAGTATTATAAAATGCTGAAAAATACGTGTGGTTAAAATACATTTCGTCTCTTTGTAGGGCTAAGGGATTATTTAAGATGGGTATATAAGTGTACTTTTTTTTATTTTTATGTTAAAAAATAAAAAAAGATGTATATTTAAAATAATTTTTTTTTTATTTTTTTATGAAAAGATATGTAATAAAATATTGTGTTAAAATTAAAATGATGATTTTATATTTTTTGACTTTTTATAATATGTAATAACACTCCAATGTGGTAGTTTTTAATGTAACACTTCAACGTGGCGGGTATGATGTAACATTTCAAAAAAATTAAAAATTTATTTTTTTCAAATGTGATAACGTAACAGATATAATATGACACTCCAAAAAAATTAAAAATTCCTTAGTGTATATTTTTCAAATGTGATAATGTGACGGGTATAATATGACACTTCAAAAAAATTAAAAATTCCTTAGTGTACCTTTTTTAAATATGACAACGTGACGGGTATGTATATATATTTTTTCAAATGTGACAATATGACAGATATAATGTGACACTCTAAAAAAACTAGAAACTCATTATGTGACAATGTGACGAGTATAATATGACACTCTAAAAAAATTAAAAATTCCTTAGTGTACCTTTTTCAAATGTGACAACGTAGCGGGTATGATGTGACACTTCAAAAAAATTAAAAATTTATTAGTGTATTTTTTTCAAATGTGAAATGTGACACTCTGACATGGCGGGTATGATTGACACTACAAAAAATTAAAAACTATTTAGTGTAATTTTTTCAAATGTGACACTTTAACGTAGCAGGTATGATGTGACACTAAAAACTCTTTAATATACTTTTTTTTTTCAAATGTGACACTCCAATATGGTGAGTAAATGAGTTATAACAAATCAAAAAGAATTAAATGGATCACAAAAAAAAAAATATAGATTACAAGTCCAAAATATGAAATTTATTAGTCAATCTTCCTTTTTTTTAAAAATAAAATTAAAGTTCAATTTTCATATTTCATAAATAACAAATATAATTATTAAATAAAGTGTCTTTTCTTTTTAAAATACAAAATATAACAACATAACATCATTTTCTTAATGTTGTTGACAAACCGGTTTGGGTCAGGTGATTTCCATCACCATCCGAATTTAAGCGAATTAAAAAAAATATATTCATATCTGTCTGTTTACAACATTAAAATCGTTTAGTTCTGATGATTCAATTTTGAGTCAGGTGATTCAATGTTTGCCCAACTCCATATATGAAGGTACGTTGAGAGCAAATCTCAGCCACACAATACCTATGCTGTGCACCATTTAGCTTGTTTAGTTTTTGTTTTCAAAAAATATTTTTCAAAAAATTTTAATTTTTAAATTTGTAATTTTTAATTTTTTTTTTTGTTTTTCATGAATTTTTTAAATATTTTAAGTAATTTTTTTTAATTTTTAGGCACACCTAACATAAATATACTTAAAAAGTATAATATTTGTGAATTTTTTTAAAAAAAAATTCACTAAATATCAAAAATACAAAAAAATAAAAATAAAATATAAATTCAATACATTTTTCGTATTTTTGTATATTTATTAATTTTTAAAAATATTTTTTCACAAATATTTTACTATTTAGATATATCTAAGTAAGGTGTATCTAAAAAAGTAAAAAAATTACTCAAAATTTGAAAAATATTCACTAAAAACAAAAAAAAATCAATTTTCAAAAAACTAAATTTAAAAAATTGAAACCAAACACATTTGTGTTTTATTTTCATGAACCTAACACTGTTGAAAATCAGTATATAAATAAATCTTAAAAGGTATTTAGGATAGTTTAAATAAATATACATTTTGATATTTTATTAAAAGATGTGCAGAAAAAGTAAAAAAATGATGTGATTAAAATAAATACATTTATATAAGTTATGTCAAATATTTCATTATTTGCAAATTAGTATGATTAATATATACTCTTTAAATAATGTTATGTATTCTTCGAGTCACCTTAAAACACTACTAAAAATTTATCGGATTATTAATTTCAAGTCTCAAAATTAATTTTGTAGGCAACTATACACATTTTATATTTTTTAATGATTCTTTTTTTCCAACTCTTGTTATGTCAAATATTTCATTATTTTCATTATGTCAAATATTTCATTATTTTCAACTCTATTTACGTTTAACATATGGCTTATATAGAAATTAGTTATTTTAATTAATTTTTAATTTTTTTATAAAAATATGTATACAAAATAAAAGGAAAATATGATAATTTATAATAAAAAATTTACCTATAATCACATTTTGAAAAATAGTGATCCATTTAGTCCTAATGATTTTTTTTATAAACCAATTTGTCCCACTGATTTTGAAAATATAGATTTAACATATTATTTAAAAATTAGATTTATGGTTATATCTTTATTTTTATTACATTTTCTTATCTTTTTTTTCTTCTTTTGTGCTAGAAAGATAATGTACATAATTTATGAGAATTAAATTTGTGATAGATTTTTTTAAGAGAATCTTTTTTATTTGAAAAACATTTCAAAATGAGTATAAAAATGACTTGAAATATGTGATTCTTCAAACATTCCAAAATGATGTGAGATTTTTCAAACATTTCAAAAGGAATACAAAAATTCTTTAGCAAGTTTTGGATAAATGTATAATTTCAAATTGTAACACTCTAATGTAATATTCAAAAAAAATTCTTAGTGTATTTTTCGCAAACATAACACTCCAATATAATACTTTAAAAAATTCCAATTAGTGTAACATTTTAATATAGCATATAAAAAAAAACTCCTTACGCGGTGTTTGGTTGAGAGATTTCGGAAGAGATTTAGAAAGGGAAAGATAAAATATAAGTGGAATGTAAATAAAATATATTTACATTTCACTTAGTTTCACACAGATTTTCAGTTTACTTTTTCAAATCTTTTATCAAATCCTCCCAACCAAACATAGCGTTAGTATAACACTTTAATGTAACATATAAAAAAATTCCTTGGTGTATTTTTATCAAACGTAACACTCTAATATAACACTTTAAAAAAATAATGTGAGATTCTTGAAATCATTCAAAAAAGATTTGGGATTTTTCTAACCATTCTAAAAGTAGTATAAAAATTCCTTAGTAAGTTTTGGATAAATATATAATTTCAAACTGTAAGTGTTATGTTTGAAAAAAGTACGCTAAGGAGTTTTTAGTGTTTTTGTGTGCTATACTGGAGCATGTTATATTGGCGTGTTACGTTTAGAATTACATTGATTGGAGTATGTTATATTGAAATGTTACGTTTGTGTTAGATTGAAGTGTCATATTTGAGACAAGTAAACTAAAAGATTTTTTTGAATGTTACGTTGTTAAGTTCGAGAAAAGTACACCAAAGAGTTTTTTAGTTTGTTATATTGGAGTGTTACGTTTTTGTTCGTAATGTAATATTTGTTGCAGAATGAAAGAAAATCTAAAACTTCTATAGTACGGATTGCCTAAATGTGTAATTTTATATTTGGAGAAACTCATTTTTATTTCTAAAAGATTAAATTTAAATATGTAAGTGACTATCTTTTTTTATAATTTTTATTTTAATGAGATCTTTAAATTCATAAAAAAAATAAATTAAACTATTTATAAGATTATATTTTAAAATATATTGATGGTTCATCCTTTATAATATCCTTTTTTTAAAATTATTTTCTCCACCACCAATAAGGTTATTGTTAAAGGAAAAAATATTGGTGAGCAAAATATGAGCAATTACTTTTGACTTGAAAAAAAGGCCAAAAAACCAAACAAGGCCTTGTAGGGGAAGTTCATGTGATGTGATGTGATGTGATGGCGTTGGTTTTATTTTCATTTAGGTCAAAAAGGTGGGTCCCATTGAACTGCATGCAGGACGAGTGGGACATACTGACGCTGACAGCTTCACCCTTCACAATCCTGGATCTTTGACACCTGACTTGCAATTGCAAGCATCTCAACCGAATCGGTAAAGCCAAAGGCTTTTTGGCAAGTAGTTGTTTTAATTTAAAAGTTAAAAAATTATTAAAAAAATTAAAAAGTTGATGATTTGTGCAGATCCAGCATTTTTGCCGAGATGTTTTTATCTCGGCTAGTGGAGTTAATAACGTATTCAATTCAGGAATTTTAACCGAGATGTTTATCCCGGCTATATGCATTGATGACTTTGTTTACACAGCGAAAACAAGATTTCGTTTTTTAAGACTGAGGTAATTTTTTTGGCTCTATCAGTCTGTAACATGCCGAGTAAAAATAGTGTGGTTGCAAGATGAACAACAGCAGACATTAGCAGAAATATAAGCGAAATGCAAACTTTTCATTGATGAAGAAATGTAGTACATATGGTGGGGCAAGTTGCTCGGTTACATACCCAAAAAAAAAAAAAAAAAAAAACTTTGACCAAACAAAATAATCATAAAAATATAAATATTTTTTTACGATTCTAACTCAATAAATTTATACATACATCATAAAAATAAATTAAATGGTTCAAATTAGATTCAACCAACCCCCATTTCAAATTGATTTAAAAAATAATAATTAAAATTATAACATATTTTAAAACTCATTTCAATTTTCATAGCAAACTAACAAAAGTATTCAATTAGGGAAAATTCTACAATATACATTTTTTAATTATGTTACTTTCTTTTTTAATTATGATTATTTTTTAATTATAATATTATTTTGAAATGATTGAAATGATTGATTATATTTCATATAATATTTGATTATGCGTAAAAAATATAAAATTATATATTTTTTAAAATTATAAATGATGTGCCATAATCTTTTCCTCTAATAAGACATAAAACCGGGTTCGGTAATATTGCTTTGAACAAATAAATAAACCACGGTTTTCTCGGGCTTAGGTTGGTTTGACTGCGACGACGACAATACCAAAAAGCCTTGAAATGCAAGTAACGGCCGTAACGCCATCCAAAATAAGAGAGCGAGAAAATGAAAAAGAAAGGGAGAGAAAGTGCGAGAAAAAGAGAGAGAAAATCACCAGAAACCACAACAGAACAGGACAAAGCTCTTTTCAATAACTCTGTCTTTTCAACCTTTTTAACTCTACTCCGAAAGAACCTTCCGTTGTTTACTCCTAAAAACCTCTCTACATGCCCACTCTCTCTCTCTTAAAAAAAACTCGTTTGTTTGATTTGAAGGTCTCTTCAATGGCGGACAGTGAGGGTAGCTCGATCGCCGGAGGGAGCTTTTCTCAGCTTCTTTTCGCCGACGACGATGTGGGTCTTGATACAGATGGTTGTTACAACTATACCTCTTCTTTTTCTACTGAAAATCCTCCGAAAATGCTCTGTTTTGGAGATTATAATCGCATTGGAAGTGATGTGGGGGTGTCTGAAACAACCACAAGAACAGCTCAGAAATCTAGACTCACATGCAGCGATTCATCTTCTGCATCATCCACCACCTCCACTTCCACCACCACTTTGTCCAAAGCCAATGTTAGTCTCGTTTTCTAACCCAAAAGAAACAAAAAATGTGATTTCGATTTGTTTGTAAAAAAGCACAAAAAGACAGAGGATGATTGTTTTTGTTTATTTTGTTTTGTTGAGCAGAAAAGGCGAAATGGGTTGGGAAATCAATCAATTCAGAGTTTTATAGCTGGAATCAGAGCTCCGGCGGGAAGTCAGAGGAACTGTAAGAAGACCAAGTCGGAGAACTCGACGGTCACCGGACATGGAAAGGTAAATCGACAGCGGAGGCTTTGCATGGCAATTTTTTTTACTTTCTCTAGATTGATTTTTTTTTTTTTTTTTGATGAGATAGTGTTTTGCATGTTTCATTTTTGTAATCAGGTGAAGAGAGAAAAGCTTGGCGAACGAATCACTGCATTGCAACAACTCGTATCACCCTATGGAAAGGTTAATTTTCATCCAAGATAGTTGTAATTAAGATTAATTAATTTGCTTCAATTAGGGGTTGTTTGGGTATCCTAAATAAGTATATTTTTTGTCTTTTTTACTAAAAAATTGAGGAAGAAAATATGAATGGTTGGGTTAATTTTTTTTGACTTTTTATGAAAAAATGTGTAATAAAAAATTGTAAAAATTAATTTTTAGGAAAAAATTAAGATTGGGAGTTAGTGCAGCTGTAATTGTTGACTTTTGATGAATAGTGTTAACTTTTTAAATTTTTTGAATAACCTTTTGACTTTTTCACAATATGTCAAACTTTCTTGTGTTTGTAGGGGATTATTTAATTGAAAAAGTTTTGAGACTTCTAAATTTAGAGTAATTTTTGGATAGGAGGGCAACACATCAATGGTGTGGGAAAATATTTTACGAGCGAGATATAATGATTAATCATTATTATTATGTAGTTATTTCTTATTTATTGAGAGTACAATAATGTAAGCAATGTCATAGGATACTTGAGATTATTGATATTTTCTCTTTTAAACATTATATACTACAAAATGATGTGAACTATTTAGTTTTGAATGTTTTTTAAAATCAATTATCTAATGCCATATCTCTTCTCAATTAAAAGGATAAATTTAAGAGTCATGTTTTAAAATATCTATTATTTTTCGTCATTTAATGGAGGTGATTTGTGTTTGGTCCATCTTTGTGGATTGAACAGTCAAGTTAGTTTGTGGAGACCATTACAAATCTTATTTTGAGTATTTAATCTGTTCATTTTATAAGCCTTTATTATATTGACTGTCTTAAAAATTACTAATATTTATCTAATAACAGTGAACACAACTTTTCCTTGTATATTTGAAATTGAAATCAGTAATTCTACAATCTCAGAAATAATCTCTAATTTTACCTATAAATCTTAGATTAATTTTACAATACATTATATTAATTCAATCTACACCAGACAAGCTCATTACCTAGAAAAATCTGGGAGATTTTATTTTTCTGAGACAGTAGCATTTCTGAATTTGAATATATATATATATATGTATATAAACATTAATTAATATGATGTCGGTACATATGGAAATTTATGTATGAATGGTATAGTTGATGAGAGTGTGGGTTGGGTGGTGTGGTGTGTGCAGACAGATACGGCATCAGTACTTCATGAAGCGATGGGATACATCAGGTTTCTGCACGATCAAGTCCATGTCTTGTGTTCTCCTTACTTGGAACGTCTCTCCTCTTCTACTCTTCTTCTTCACCGTCCTCCTCCTGTAAGTACTTTCTTGTCTTTTTCTTCTCATTTTTAGAATATTTTACTGTTTTGAAAATTTGTCATTTACTTTCTCATTTGTTTTTTACCGCTGTCACTTGACTTCTCTCAGACTGTTTATTTTGAAAATTGGTTTAATTGACTGTGATAAAAGAGCTACCAGTCAAAATTAATCTCCGTATTATTGTAACACTGCCGACATCATTCATTATTGATAGGTAATATCATCAAATAAGTCTTACAAACACAAATTTGTCCAAGGACCAGACTTATAAACATCATCATAATATGGAAGGATTGGGTTTTTAAAAAAAGTACTCTACTAACAATTTTTTTTAAAAAATTTATTCATTCTTGTGTATTTTATAACAATTTTTTGTGTTAGTTGCAAAATTCATAGGACATGTGGGATTTTGAAACCCGCTACACCCACTATTGTGATGTAACTATTTGACCCAAAATAATCATGTTACCATTCCTACATTGTAATTTGTTATTGAATGGTGGCAGTTCTTTTTTAATTAATCCATCTTCTAGACAGATATTCAAAAATTTTATATAGAAATTTCATTGGCCGACAGATTTTAATTACCAGAAGCTATTATGAGTATAGCTTTTAAAATTTGTATGGATTGAAGTTATTTTCAAGTTTTTATGACTAGAGTTATCATGAAGAACTTCCACAGTTCCACTGTAACAATTTGGCAATGTAGTATATTCTCTGTTTTACTGCTCTCTGATGTTTTATTTTTTTTAAACCTTATTTTCAATCTCCTCTGTTTTTACCGTGTTCCAACTTGGCTACATTACCCGTTTCAATATATAGGATAGTAGTGGATATAAGACGGTTTATGCTTTTATAGTATTGAGAGATTTGCAATAGCGGGTTGTGTAGGGAGCCGGCTTGTTATATTCTTTGCATTCTTAGTGATTCTTTTTTGCCTTTTTTTTCCTGTGGACATAGGCTTATAACTAAACCACATAAAGTATAGTGTATTTATTATTTTTCTATTTCTTGTTCTGCGTATGGCTTACGTGAGTAGATGATGTGATAATAGCTCAGAGATGAGAAGCCTATCTGCATATCCATCTTTTGAATCAGAAATAACGTGGTAATGGCCTTATGATTGTGCCAATTCAACCATGGTGTAGCAATGAAATTCTTCACGTTTAGCTCAACCATTTGTGATTTTATATTATCTAACCACGGTCCAATGCTGCTTTCTCATAATTCCTTTACCTTTGTGGTTTGATAGGAAGAAGGAGAGAATGGGGAAGGCAATTCAAGAAAGGATCTGAGGAGCAGGGGTCTCTGTCTTGTCCCGATAGAGTGTACCGAACACATTGCAAACAACAATGGTGCTGATTTCTGGTCACCTGCAATGGGGAACAATGTTTCACCAAAGCACTGAGAAATTTCAAGCCCTCTCTTGTCTTGTACAATGTTTCTGCCTAGTAAAAAGAATTGGTATTAACATAGGAGGTGGAGGTGAAAAGCTAGTTCTTGGCAAACATGAAAACCTGAATACATGGTTAGGAGAAGACAAACTAAGAAAGAAAAAGTAGAAAATGTGTTTCTTTTTTTGGGTGTAGAGAAGGGGGGGTTGGAGTGGGGAAGCAGTGGTTGAATGGTTTTTGGTTTTAGAAGTGATGATGTATGTATGTGGTAGTTTTTGAGGGGTTGAAAATGGCTTAGCAAGTTAGCATATACCGACACCTCTGTACCTTTTTTTTTTGGTTCTTCTTTTTTGGGTCTTTTTGAGGCATTATCAAATTATCATCACTATGCTTATCATTTATTTTTACTGTTTTCAATTTTTACCGTTTTCATTTGTTGGTGAAGTTCGTCTTTACAGAATGAACACATCACTGCCATCCCTCTAGTATCTGTAATATCAAGGGTCGTGAATTGCGCTACATAATATGGTAAATGAAAATGATAAGCATAATTTTTTTGTTATCAAATACCAAAAAATAATTGATAAGCATAGTTATTTTTTTTATGTGGTAGCTTTTTTGTTATCAGACACAAATCTTTTGGTTTTGAGTTTTGAAAAATAATTTTTGAATTTTCAATTGGTATTTTTGTATTTTTAAATTTTTTAATCATTTTAAATTTTTTTTTTTAGATTCACTTAAACTTAGTTTATTTGAAAAGTATAATATTTGTGATTTTTTTTTAAATTCATTAAATACAAAAAATACAACAAAAATATGAATTTAGATTTAAGTGTATTTAAAAAATACAAAAATTTGTGTAAAATATTAAAAATAAAAAATAAAAAATTTAATTTTTAAAAAAGTGAATTTAATTTTTTAGAACCAAACATTTGATCTATGGAAAAGAGGGTTAACGTCTTCTACAGTTTTACTTGTGCCTGTGGCTGGTCATGGATGATTAAAATGTTTCTCATAATTCACTCTCATAGATTCAAAAAATAAATAAATTAAAAAATTGTGTTAGTGGAATTTAGTTATAACTCAAATTTATTATTTTTTAGAGGCACAATTTTGAAGTATTAAAGTTTGATTATGGCTGATAACAAAAATAAAAAATAAAAAAATAAATTATGATTATGACTCAAAACTCTTGTTTTTGATAGGCTCATAGGCCCTGTTTATTTGGGATTATAAGAAGGGGATTGGGATTGATAGTGAAGTGAGACTATTATATGAGGTGTTTATTTTGAGAGATGGAGAGAGGACTACTAATACCTTGGTATTAGTAAAGGCCTTGGAAGAAAAATTCATAGTGAGGAGGTAGAGATGGTATTAGAAAAATAGTGAGGGAATTAAAAAAAATTTTATTTTTTTTATATTGGAATTTTTTTTTAAAATATTGATGTTTAATTTTTAAATTTTTTTTATTTCTTTTATTATTTTATATAAAAATAATTTAACAATTCTTCACTATCAATCTCTTCCATTCTATCTCTGAAAACAAACAGGATCCTAAGGTTTTAGAAACTATTCAGTCTAAATTCACTGTGTTGGGTTTCAATTTTCTAAAAATTAAATTTTTTATTTTTTGTAATTTCTTTTTTGTTTTTAGTAAATATTTTTAAAATTTTAAATAAATTTTTTACTTTTTTAGATACACCTTACTTAAATGTATTTAAAAATTAAAATATTTACAAAAAAAATATTTTTAAAAATCAATAAATATACAAGAATACGAAAAATGTATAGAATTCTCACATTTTTTCAAAAATATTTTTGGCATTTAGTGAATTTTCTAAAATTTTATTTCCACAAATATTATACTTTAAGTGTATTTGCATTGAGTATATCCAAAAATTTAAAAAAATTGCTTAGAATATTAAAAAAAATCCAGTGAAAAAAAAAACACGAAAAATAAAAAATTTTAATTTTCTAAAAAGTAAATCGTAAAAAACCAAATCAAACCAAACCAAACCAAACAATAGTATTTAAAAAAGAAAAAAAAAATCATTTGATAGTCTGCGGCGTCACCTAGCAATGTTCGCAAGCATTCCCCAAATAAAATGTTCCTACTATTTTTCACGATCCAATACAAATATGGAGTACCACCTCACAACACACCAAGTCAATTCACAATCATAAATCTCACCTCCTTCGCTAATCAAACAAACTTGAACACCACATGACCATATCAAACACAACAAAATAATTTCTCCTATTTGAGAGTTATAATATTGGAGTTTTATTATTCACTTTGATACGGCGGCTCAACTTTTTTCTGAACGGCACTGCTGCTTTGCTTGTTGAATTCATCTATTTTTTCTTTCTTCACCACCATTGAGAAACATCTCGGTTGCTCCCTATGGGCTTGCGCAGTAGAAGAATCAAATCTAGCAAGAAAAAACAAGACAAACCCATAAAAGATGAACACCACAAGACCACTGCAATGGAAGATCTCCCACTTGATCTCTCCCTCCATATCATTTCTTTACTGCCCATGTCCTCTCTCTTTCCCATCAAGTTAGTATGCGAGTTCTGGTACACTTTAGCAACTCATCCACGGCTCACTTCTCTTCATCAGCAACATCACAACAATGATTTCTCTAGTTCTACTATCCACAGATTCTACATCTTATGCTCACAACAAACGTTCTCTTGCTGAGTTAAATGTGTTCAACCACGAGGAACAAGTTACAACACGATCAATAAAACAGTCGATTGAACTAAAGCGATTGAAAGTTGATACCATTCTGTCATGCAATGGTTTGCTGTGCTTAATATGCTTTGGAAACAAGTGCACAGATAGATACTATGAAGTTAGTATATACAATCCATTGACTGGAGAGGATAATTATTTGCCTGATATGCCATGTGGGTTACCAAGAGTCTGAGCCAGCAAAAAAGTCAATAAGCATCTCAAGATTGAAGCTTCTAAGTATGAGCGTTTTGGGTTTGGCTTCAATCCAAGAACTAATGAATACACGGTGGTGAGAATTGCTGGAATTCACAATTTGGAGCATAGTGTTAGTCTTTTGTGGTGTAACAGATGCAAGGTGGTGAGTTTTGCTGGAATTCACAATAGCTACAATTTAATGCATATGCCTGGTGTTTTTGAATGGGCTTTCTTCGTGTAAAAATGATTTGAGACAAAAAGCTGACGTGTTTACTCTCAGCAGAACTGGGGTATGGAGGTCTGAAATTGACAAGCGTATTGCTTGTCCTCTGGAATCGTCTGACATGGTTGTCAACGGCACTATTCATTGGTTATGCTCAGAATGTGGACATACAAGCGAAACCTGTTTCATTGTTTCATTCAACTTGTCAAAGGAGAAGTTTCAGAGGATTTCATACCTGCCTGACTGCATTATGGGTCGGGGTTGCAGATTGTTGATGATGGGAGGCTGTCTTGCCATAACTGACCACCATGGAAGGCAAGATGATATATGGGTGATGAAGGAAATATGGTGTGGAGTGGTCTTGGACTATAGAGTTTGTCATCAGAGGGAATTTGCCTTTAGTAAGTTTGACAAGTCCTGAATTGATTCATCCTCTATGCTTGTTGAGCTATGGGATGATTTTGATCACATACAAGAATGAAGCTCTTTATTCTTATGATCCAGAAGATGGGGAGTCATTGGAGATTTGCACTAAAGAAGGCTTGCTTCCCCATCAGTTCAAGGCAGTTAGTTATACTCCAAGCCTTGTTTCACCATTTTAATAGCTAGTTTTCTACTGGTTTTGACGAGAAAAAAATGCTAAGCAAGCATAAAATCATACCTCTTTAATAATTTTGCAATTATGACAACTTTTTTTTTTCCCCAATGAATTTATCTAAATAACTAGAATAATATTTTTTTACATGTCTAGTAAAGTGATTGATGAATTGGAGAAATTCAAAGAACTGTTTTGTTTTTGTTTTTTGGGTGATTGTGTTGCGATGATATGAGAAAGATGGCTGTGCTTTGTTGGGATAATGAGCTCTTTAGTAAAAATGATTGATGATAGTTGATGCCAGATTGATGATTTGGGAGGGATCAATGTTCATTTTGGTCATCTCTGTGTAAAATAAGTGTTGAATCATAGTAGCTGGAAACCAGAAAAAAAGGGGATGAGATCCCCTCCCTCCGGGAAAAATTATTAGGTGCGTGACACGTGTTCATATTTATTAATCATCATACAATATATTCTGTTGGGGCAATCCCACATTGCCTGGGAAGGGCACTTGCAACCAACTTATAAGCATATTGGCCCCCTCCACCTGTTAAGACGCGTTTTAAAGCCGTGAGGCCGACGGAGGTTTTCTTCCCCACCTCGCCAGAGCGGACAATATCTTACCGGGACGCAAGAAGCCAGTCACGTGAGTTTGGTGGCCCATGCAGGTCGTCCGGCAAACTCTCCCGCTGTTTGCGGCCCAATCCGTCGGGTGGTTATGTTGGGGCAATCCCACATCGCTTGGGAGGGACACTTGCAACCAACTTATAAGCGTACTGGCGGCCCAATCCGTTGGGTGGTTATGTTGGGGCAATCCCACATCGCTTGGGAGGGACACTTGCAACCAACTTATAAGCGTACTGGCCCCCTCCACCTGTTAAGACGCGTTTTAAAGCCATAACCAACTTATAAGCGTACTGGCCCCCTCCACCTGTTAAGACGCGTTTTAAAGCCATGAGGCCGACGGGGGTTTTCTTCCCCACCTCGGCAGAGCGGACAATATCTTACCGGGACGCGAGAAGCCAGTCACGTGATATTCCCTCATTTTTTTCAATCACCCAACGCAAAATAATAAATTTCACATTTGTCACCCATCACAACACCTCTTGGAGCACTACGTTCGCTCCATAATTTATAATTTATTATATACAAAATTAACAGCTGTTTTCTTCTCCATTCAACATAAACAAAATTACCCAATCGTGATCAAACAGCAGATAAAAAGAAGAAGAAAAAAAAGAATCATAGAAGATGGAAAAACAGATAATGAAATTTCTTTTATCTTCATGATCATTAACAATTTATGTACAGAGATTTATGTCACTGATAGATGACAAAAAAATACAACTCTGTGTGGTGTGCCCTAATTTAGAAATTGAAAAGCCCCAAATCAAAAATTAAAACCTGAAAAACGAACCTGTAAGGTGGGAGGAAGAGGTGACAGAGCTCCGGCCCCGGTTGTCTTCGTTCGGTGGCGGCGGTCGCATTTCTTCTGACTCTTTCTTTCTCTCGCTCTCTGCGTTTTTTTTATTTTATTTTTCGATTCATAGGATCTCCTCCTTTAGTCAAAAGAAGAAGCTACTAAAAAAATTTCCCTCTAAGCCTCACTCTAAAAACATTTCAAATCTTAATTTGTTTAATTAGGGTTGGTTTGGGAATGTGTGTTAGGTTTTTAATTTTTGGGGTTAAAAATTCTCGATTGGATAAGTCTTTTAATTTTTTTGACTTTTGTAAAAGAAAAAATAAAATGATTATGGATTGAATGTGATGTTTTGTCTTATTAGGTTAAAATGCATATTTTACTTTTTTGTGACTAAAATAGTCAAAAAAACTTGCATGTCAACCGAAGGCTCAAAAATATAAGTTAGTAATTTCTTTTTCTCTATTTTATTTTACAAATGGACAGGTTAGGTTGGGCATTAATTAATATTTTTTTTGTGATCAATACTTCATATCTCAAGCCTAACTCAAATATAGACAATTTCAGCACAATCCAATTTTATAAGTAAAACAAAATTTCCAAATTTTAATATATCATACGAGAGTGGGTGATCGGCCAAAATAGTTTAAACCTGTTAACTATGAAAGGGAGCTCTCCCTAATTTGTGAAGTTATTTTAGTTTGTAGTATACAAATTTGGTTATAACTCAAATTTATTGTTTTTGATAGGCAGATAGGGCTTCACATAGAATAGATGGACTATCTTAATACATCAAGGATTAGAATTTTAGGGACAATTCAGTGTTAATAGTATATCCATGTATTGCAGAGAAAAATCATATTTCATAAACTTCCATATTTTCCTTTTCAGAGTTGGATTCCAGAGACTCTTTGTTTTCTAGATTGATAAATACAAAGATAATGTGATATTTTTTTGAACCATCTTGATGCATATGATATAAATATTATATGTTTTAGAATTAATATTTAGTTAGGAATATTTAATTTAGCATAGAATGGTATAAATTTATTTAATTTCTTAATTTGATTTTATACAATTTTCCTACTCTATTAGTTTTAATTTTAATTTTTTATTTTATTAGTTTCTTGTTGTCCAAGAAGTAAGTTTATTATAATCAAGAAGTAAGTTTATTGCCGATCAAAAAAAAAGAAGTAAGTTTATTATAATAAATAAGGTTGTAAGTTTTAGGATTATTTAGTTTCAGTTTATATTTTGATTTCGTTTTTAGCATAGAATGGTATAAATTTATTTAATTTCTTGATTTGATTTGATACAATTTTCCTACTCTATTAGTTTTAATTTTAATTTTTTATTTTGTTAGTTTCTTGTTGTCCAAGAAGTAAGTTTATTATAATAAAAAAGATTGTAAGCTTTAGGATTATTCAGTTTCAGTTTATATTTTGATTTCGTTTTTAGCATAGAATGGTATAAATTTATTTAATTTCTTAATTTGATTTGATACAATTTTCCTACTCTATTAGTTTTTGTGGGAATATATTTTCTAAGTACCAACATAAGGTGACGCCGAGGTGTCAACCGAGGTGTCACGTGTCCTGGTCATGACGCCGAGGTGATCTCGGCAAGGCCGAGGTTATCTCCGAAGATATCGAAATCCGAGATAAGTGGATAAGGGACAAGAGTCCTAGAATGAAAAGGGAACTCAACCTAGATGAGGGACAAGAGTCCTAGAATGAGAGAAAACTTCAGTTTGTATTAAAATAAGACTCTTAGAGAGTTTATCCTAATCTTACTGGGAGTCCAAGATTAACAGTAATCCTGAGTCCTTAGGCTTCTATTGGGACTAGGTTTATGTTGGCTATAAAAGACAGGCACCCCCATGGGTCTAAGGTATGCTTTTTTGGCTCAAGCTTGTGAGACGAACCACCGCAAAATTCTTATATTTCTGTTGCAGGTTAGTCAGGTGCTATTTATTCTGCCAGTGCTCTCCAACTGAATTACTCTATTCTGTCAGTGTTCTCCAACTGAATTACTGACACTACAAGAAAAAGCATTTTTGCCGACCACTTTTAGCTACCAAAACTAATTTAGTCGCCAAAAGTCACGAAATTGGCTACCAAAAATAATATTAGTCGACAAAAGTCAACTTTTTAGCTACTAATTTTTTTTAGTAGGGGAATGTTGATTATTGGCTACTAAAAAAAATTTAGTAGCTAAAGATATTACAATTGGCGACTAAAACAATTTTTAGTAGCTAAACATATGACAATTGGCGACTAAATAAAAATTTAGTAGCCGTAGAGGTACCTTTAGCTACTAAATTGTTTGGTAACCAAATGAAAATAAAAAAATTAATTTTTAATCTTTCTCAACCAAACTTTTGGTCGCCAAATGTCAAGTTTCGGCGACAAAATTTCTTTTAGTCGCTGTATACCTACTTTCGGCTACTAAATTATTTGGTAGCCAAATGAAAATAAAAAAATTAACAAAATAGTTATTTTATTTTATTTTTATTTTTATTTTTAGGTTGTACACCCACCATCCAAAATTATTAATATCTTATTTTATTTTTTATTATCTCAAAATATTAATTTTTTAAAAAAATTAATTATTAAAATAATATGAATTTCTTATTTTGTCCTTTTTTTAAATCCATTAATAATACAAAAAGTACAATTATGACAATTGATATGTCTAAAAAAATATACTATCAAAAGGTAATTTTGAAAAATTAATATTTTTAAAATGTAATAATTGTATTATAAAAAGAAATTAAATTCTGAAAATAGACTATTATTTTTAGATGGAAGAAGTAGTCGGCTTTCATTTGATGGTTGAACACATCTTTTAATAATTGGGCCCTCACGCGAAAGGTATGCTAAAATGGGCAACTTGTTATTGGCTGTTTGTCGATAGTTTTACATTGCAAAAATTTAAAGGCATAGTTACAGGTCAGTCTGATGAATTTAATTTTTAATAATAAATTTATTATTTTTAAAAAGTACAATTAAACTATTTATACTTTTTACATCATCATATTTCAATAACACTAATAAATTAAGAATAAATCAAAATTCACAAATAAAAGACAAAATATCCAA